AATCTGCTAGCGGTTGGCGGCGGCTACTGCAGCATGTAAGCGATCCAGAGTTTCAGTCTGAATAAATGCATCACTTGAGTTTTGTTTGGCGAAAAGATTTACGAAATGAACTCGGTCCAAACCACAACCAAAAGATCACGAACTAGAAATGCTCCACTACAAAACACTGACAAAGACGTGGTGCTGAAACCACTGGAAACCGAGCCAAAGCCTGCAGCAAACTACGGGCTGAATTGGACCCTGAAGGGCCACTCAAAGTCCATAAGCTGTGTAAAATTCTCTCCCGATGGACAGTGGTTGGCCAGCGGCGGTAGGATGGCTGCTGCTCATCGCAGGGGCCGACAAATCCATCATGCTGTGGCATGCCTTGGACGGACGGCTGGAAAGGTCATTTCTTGGGCACAAGGAGGGAGTTAGCGATGTGGCCTGGGCACATGACTCGCTGACGCTGTGTTCTGCCTCGGACGACAAGACCATTCGCATTTGGAATATCGGCGCGGTAGGCTCGAGGGCTAATGTGCCAGAGCGAAGCTGTAAATACCCTCAAGGGCCACACCAACTATGTGTTCTGCGTCAACTACAGTCCAGGCTCCAACATGATTGTGTCGGGATCGTTTGACGAGTCGGTGCGGATCTGGGACGCAAAGCTAGGTGCGTCGGCGACGGCTGACCGCAGGGAAAACACTCAAGGTGCTCCCGGCACACTCGCAGCCAGTAACGGCTACCTGCTTCAATCGCGACGGGACCTTGGTGGCCTCGTCGTCCTACGACGGACTTGTGTATGTCGATGCTGTGCACTCACCACAGCCGGATCTGGGACACCGCAACGGGCCAGTGTCTCAAGACCATTGTCGAGGAAGACAACTCTCCTCCCGTGTCGTACATTCGGTTTTCGCCCAACGGGAAATTCATCCTGGCGTCGACGCTAGATAATAGAATCCGGCTGTGGTCCTACACATCTGGAAAATGTCTGAAAACATACAAGGGCCACGACAATGCAAAGTACTGCTGCACGTCCACGTTCTCTATCACCGGCAGCAAATACATAGTCAGCGGAAGCGAAGACCGCCATATATACATTTGGGACCTGCAGACGCGGGAAATTGTACAGAAGCTGGCCGGCCATACCGGTAGGTTGCCGCTGCAGAATAACCATAGACGTGGTGCTCTCTGTCGACTGCCATCCGCACCGCAACATGATTGCCTCTTCGAGCATAGACGGCGATCTCTCCATCAAGATCTGGACAGATACAACCACGCCCCAATAAACTTGTACCTTGTACGTCGCGATAAACGGAGACAGTCCGTTTTTCAAAACCGAAACCAACCGCTCGGAAACAGCGTTGATAAAAGCGATAGTCGCACAGCACGATGCTGCCGTTCGAGCGGTGTCTCCACAGTTAGATTCACTTAGAATGGGGTTTTATTAAAAGCGGTTGCTTTCCCTGATTACATCGCCTTCGGCAGCGTGGGCATGGCCTTGAGCTTTCTTGGCAGTGTCGCCGGTGATTCCACCAACAATCTTTTCGAACCCGCCTTGTAGGTTCTTGTGGGCAGCCTCGGCACGGTTGGCAGTCTTGGCGGCAGTGACTTCAGCCTCTCCTTGCGCACGTTGGGCAGCACCTTCGGCCCTGGCCTTTTCAGAGAACAGACCGCCAATGTTTTCCTTCATGGCACCAACAGCTTGATCTTTGTAACCTTCAGATTTGCTTGCAGACATATTAATTGTTATGGAAACATTTACAGAAATATCTCTTGCCTTTTATACGCGATGTGCGGAAAATAAGACCCTCACTTAACTTGGGGCTGTGCACTTGTTCCCGTGAAAGAATTGTCTTTCATAAAGAACGAGGGGGGGTAAACAACTAAAGCTTAAGAGTTCCTTATTTGGTCAATAACCAAAACTAGACGGTTGTACTACAACTGTCTCTGATACCAACAGTCTGGCTCAGGTTGCCATGTAACAGTCAAATATATTCATGTCCTTGCCAGCAGTCTCCCATGATGATGGGTTATTTCCAAGCATGGCAATTCCCGTTAACAGCCAAGATTGTTCCCAGTTGGCATTCCAGGGAATACTAGATAGATTTCTCAGTCTACGTAACTTCTCAAGGTTGCATGGCAACAAATATTAGTCAGAACTCAAATAATATTTTATTGCTACACTGCTATTTGCGCCAAATCCAAAATGTCGAAACTTATCGATTGACGTTACATTCAAACCAAAGAACAAGAATTGCGCAATCAAAGCCACATTTATTGACGTTAGGCTCTCACCAGAGTCACGGTGGTTCCGGAAAAGCAGAGGAGCTCGGATCCATCGCCATTGGTGGCAGTTCCCGAGATGCTGTACTTGCCAGTGGGAAAGAGAATGGACAGCGGCTGGATGATGGTCAGCGACTGTTCGCCAGCCGGGATGGGGCAGGGGATGCCGGCCTGCTCCGAGTAGTCGCAGAGATTGTACTCAAAGGTCTTGACGAGACCAATGGGCGACTTGACCTTGACCGACGCCGTGGCATTGCGGGTCAGGGCCACAGAGTTGGTTCCACTCATGCGAATGGTGACGTTGGTGCCAGGACTGGGAGACAGGGGATCGGCTGCCACCTCGGTCAGGACAAAGGACGCAGCCGAGCTGGAGCAGGAAGCGTTGAATGGGATCGAGGTAAAGTTGGCGGCCACAGAGGCAACAGCAAGAGCCAAGACAGAGAGCGAAGCAAACATTTTTTTGAGAAACATTGAGGCAGATATCGCTCTTAAGTACTGAGGGTCAACTTACCGCCCTTCGGCCTCCCCGCCACTTGTCTTGATCATTTGATCTTCTCAATTGCGAAATCCTTTTGACTGTGCATAGACGGGCCGCCAACTTTCTCGCTTATTTTTTGTCGGAGACCCGCGCCAATGCTGCTTTTCGTGTGAAACAGTCATGTGGAGTGCAGTTATACCGGTCTAACGCCTGGGACCGTCATTTAGCTATGCTCGCTCATGGACTCGCCGACTCGGGATTTGGTGCACAAACGACCGACGGCGGCAATTTCCCGATTCAACCTTGGCCGCACTCTCGCTCTCGCTTGGCTCTTTTACCAGCATCTTTTGTCTTGATTTTCTTTGGCAGACTGCCGTCCACGTGAAAGACTCGCGAAAAGCGAAGCCACTCCTTTGTTGGGACCAAGTTAAATATCCTGGCTGCACCGACCAGAGCACTGGCAGCTGCGTGCCCATGACTGTTGGCGCATCTCGCTCCAGCACCACTCCGCCAATCCGTCAGGCTGCGGTCCAGACGCCAACTCATGAACACCACCATAGAGCTGGGAACGATCGACAGCCAAGCAATCCGGAGCGATCTCGACTTGTTGGCAAGCTGCCACAGGCCGTGAGATCATGTTGTGGGTTTCTCCGCCCTGCTCGTGTTGGACACTTTCCCAATAAAGTAGCAAACAACACAGTGCGGAATGGCGGTCCAGAGCAGAGCACCCGGAAGCACTTGGCAGACAGCCTGTCCACAATGCAAGAAAATCGTCGAGTTTACAATCACGGCCGGCGAAGAGACGGTTGAGTGCTATGCCTGCCAAGGACACTTTCCGTTTCAAAAGAGCGAATGCTTTCCCTGCCTGAGCAGTGTGCAAAACAGAAAGGCCAAACCAGCGGCCTCTTCGCAGAGAGACCCGAAGCCGAAGCGTGCCCCGCCTGCCATGGTGGGCTCAGGTTTGTTGCAGTAGACTTATGGCAGATTTGAATCCGATTGACTCTACCTACTACGACCTACTGCAGGTGGCTCCGTCGGCATCTGCAGCAGAAATCAAAAAGGCCTACTACATGCAGGCAATGAAGGTAGGCCGGCCTGTGTTTATCCTAGTCGCATCCCGACAAAAACCCCGAAGATGCAAACGCCGAAGAAAAGTTTAAAAAGATATCAGAAGCGTACCAGGTGCTTTCGGATCCCCAGCGTCGCACTCTCTACAACCAGCACGGAATGAACGCACAAACAGACGGCGCCTTTGTGGATCCGGAGCAGTTTTTTCGACAGCAGTTTGGCGGCGACAAGTTTGTGTCGATCATTGGCGAAATCAGCATTGCCCGCGACTTTAAGGACGCCATGTTTGCGCAGGACGAGTCAAAGCCGCCGCCGCTGTCGGTAGAGGATCGGTCGGAGGCTCGCAGAGAGCGGGTGGTTGGGCTGGTTGGCCATCTGGTGGGGAAGCTGGCCCTGTACACGGATGCGTTTCCGTATCCCACAGCAGATGCCCCGCCGCCGGTGGGCACCACCATGGAGCACCTGTCGCAGGAAGCACTGAACTCGTTTCGGATCCTGGCCCAGGTTGAAGTGGACTCTCTCAAGGAAGAAAGCTATGGTGTCGAGCTGCTGCACGCCATTGGATATACCTACAACCTCAAAGCGGATCAGTGGCTGGCCATTTTGGACGCTTCTTCTGGACATGTCCTGCAGCGAACGTGGGGCTGGACCTTTCGCCTCACCAACGGCATCAAGGAAAAGGCCCACATCCTGAGCGAGACCGTGGGGACCGTCAAGACGGCCTTTGACTTGCAGAGCAGTTTCACCAAGCTGCAGGAGATGGAAAAGCGCGGCGGGGCAGCTGGCGGCGAGGAGGAGCAAGCGCTGCAGCCTCCCGAGCTGACCAAGGAGGAGCAGGAGCTCAAGGCCAAGCTAGAGCACGACGCTGCGACCAAGGGCATGGAGGCTCTGTGGCGCGGGAGCAAGCTGGAGGTCGAGGCCGTCCTGCGGGATGTCTGCGACGAGGCGCTTGGAGCAGAGACGCTCGATGAGGAGGTCAGGAGGAGACGTGCCGTGGCACTAAAGGTACTGGGCGAAGTATATCAAAGAGCCGCCTAATCGCTTTCCAACGGCGGGTTTCAGGATTAAACAAGCTATTTGTCCATTGCTTCAGAATGTTGACTTGGCCCCGCGCTAATTGCGACCAAACGAGAGCGCTTGGCCATGGCGATCTGCCAAGCACTGCAGCAGAAACAAAAGCAAAAAAGCAGGGCCTCTCCGGGATTCGAACCCAGGACCTCCCGCACCCTAAGCGAAAATCATACCCCTAGACCAAGAGGCCTGCTGGCAAGAGCCTCCGCAGCCAGTTCTTATTTGATATGGTTGGTAGTTTTTTGCTTGGCACTGCGCAGGTCGACGGGGCTGGTGGCTGTGGTCTTGGGGCGGAGAAGCAACTAAGAGGTAACATTTATGAGGTCTAATTACAGCGCGCATCAATTGCAGTTGATGGCTCGGAGCGGCGATCGCTTGGGACGTTTCCCAGTTGCAATCCTGCAGGGCTCCGCGTTGCTATCTAGCCCGAGACAGATGGAGCACAGGTCGTGCTCGTCGGCATCGAGAATGGACATGGGTGCGTCGAAACAAGGGCTCGACAGCTGCGAGATCTTTTCGACGGCTTCCTCGGCGGTGTAGACTGGATCATACAGCAGAGCAATCGGTCGCTTCGAGCGGGCCGTTCGGCTATGAGGTGTATTTGCTCCGTGCTGGTTTGCGCTCGGAGTATGGATTGGATCTTGGTAGGCGAGCGACCAAGATTCCACAGCACTTTCGCTGGTCAGCGGAGAATGCGTCAGGGAAGTGCCGCTGTTTGGGCTGGGCAGAACCACTTCGCTATACAGCGAGTGAGCGGGCTGGGCCCGAGACACCCGTCTGGCGCTGCTGAACAGCTCTTCGTACGTCTTGTTGAGCAGGTCTTGGTCAAAGTAGCCTTGGTTCTGGTTGCGGCACTCGACGTGCGGTTGCTGGCTGCCTCTGGAGCAGAGATTGGTTCTGCTGCTCTGTCGCTCGGAATGGCTTGGAGCAGCGCCAGTGCGATATTCGTAGCGAGACACCGAATGGCAGCCCCGCAGCGGCTCTGAAATGTGCATTTCCTCCCGCTTGGACTTGGGAAAGGAAAAAGAGCGGGAAAGGAATTTAAACATGCACTTTTCGGCAATGGAAAAGAGTGTTTCTCAAAGTTTAATCTCCCGTCCCTTGAAGGTCACTGGACCCCCGACTTGTCGGCACTTTATGTTGGACAAATCAGTAGCTACATCTTGCCGGCGGCAATTTCAGCAATGTTGAGAGGCTTGGTGCGGTCATCGGTGTCGGGCTGGTCCTGGGGAAAGCTGTAGCCAGAGGCGACACGGTCATCGTGGGCCTTTTGGGCGGTTTCGATCAGCTTGACAGAGGCGGCAGGGCCGGTTTGGTCGACCAGACTGTAAAAGATTCCGCTCTTGTTTTGCAAGAGCTTGATGGGCTCGTCAAACTCTACCAAGCAGCCGCCATCCATAACCAGCACGCGGTCGCTCTCGATAATGGTGTTCAGACGGTGGGCAATGGTCAGCATCGTTAGTTCTCCAAAGTTTTGCTTGATTGCCTCCTGGATCATGTAGTCGGTCTGGGCATCAAGAGAGGCAGTCGCTTCGTCCAAAACCAGCACCTTGGCCTTTGACAGAATGGCGCGGGCAATGCACAGCAGCTGGCGCTGGCCCTGGGACACCGACTTTCCGTTTTCAGAGACTGGCGTCTCCAGCTTGGAGGGCGACTGACGCAGCTTTTCTCCCAAAAAGACTGCATCCAGGGCCTTCCAGATCTCCTCGTCGCTGCTTTTTCTAAACGGATCGAGATTGGAGCGGATTGTCCCCACAAACATGACGGGTTCCTGAGGGATAATGGCAATCTTGTTTCGGAGGTCGTGCAGCCCAATCTTGGACACGTCCAATCCATCAATCGTGATCGTGCCGCTCACCGGCTCGACAATGCGCAACAGAGACACCAGCAACTAGTCGTTAGCGGCGCCAAGCCTTACGGTGGATTTTCCTGAGCCGGTGCGGCCAACAATGCCAATTTTTTCCTTGGGATAGATCTTGAGAGAAACGTTCTTCAGAACGGACACACCAAACTTTTGATACTTGAGCTCGATATTCTTGAACGTAATCAGGCCATGCTCTGGCCACGAGGCTGGTGGTTTGCGCTCGGGAATTTCAAACGGAGCCTCGGGTGTAGTTTTCCCATAGTAGACCAGCTGGCCCACCGAAGACATTTGCGTCTCGACATCGCCCCACTGGCGGACCGTCCACTGCACAAAGACCAGCATCTGCAAAGCGTTGGACAGGGCAAGACCGGCATTGGAGGGCACAATGGTATCGCGTTGCTGGACAATCAACAGGGCCGAAAAGAAAATCACGAGCGACGACAGCACATCCAGATAGAGGGCCTGGAACGATTTCACTAGAGTCAGAGACTGTCCTTACCGCTCTGCATGGCAAACTGTGCCTCGTGGTTCTTGTCCAGCTTGAGCAGGTTTAGCGTATCGAATCGTTCTTCGGCGTGGTAGGATCGGATCGACAAGAGCCCTTCGAGCGTGGCAGTCAGGTGCGAGTACACAGGCGGCTTTGTAATGGCCTCCAGCGATTTGGTGGAAATGTCGGCTGGGGTTGTGTATCTGATAAACACATAGCCAATAGCACACAGTCCGATGCACGGTGCCCAGTTCCAGTCAATCAGCACGGCAGAAAGAATCAGCGCGCCAAGACCAAGGGGAAAGTACTGCAGCGCCTGCATGGCTGCGTCCAGCATAATGTCGTCTACATGGAGCAGATGCTTGGAGAAGCACGCAATAATTCGGGCCACCGGCGTCGTGTCAAAGAACCCCATGGGTGCATGGATAATGGCCTGAAACAGCTCGTTGTGCAGCAGCTTTGCCTTTTCCGTGGTTACGATCGAAAAAAACAATCCTCGCAACAACGCGCCAAGGGCAAAGGCAATGGTAAAGGCGCCGTAGACACCGACATACACCGCGTCGCTGTAGCCTCCCACCTTGGGCACCCACAGACGGAGCCAAAAGTCGCCGGCAATACGAAGCCCGTGGACCAGGACAAACGAGATAAACACCGCAAACGTCATGGGAATGCCGCCGCGACCGATTCTAAAGTAGGCGATAAAGTCTGCCGACCCAGCGGTCTTGGTGGACTCGTCGTCCTGCACCAGTCTTCCTCGCTTGATTGCGTCTTCGTCCGACTCGACTTCTATCTGGGATGCGAGAACGTGTTTGGCAGAATACTGAGACAGCTCGTTCTGGAGCATCACCTTGGCCACGTCGTGGGACTTTTCCGCCCCATGGATCCTGGTGGAGTGGCCCAGCTCAATGATGGAGCGGATGGTGCTTTCGTTGATGCTCTTGGCGTTGCGGACAGAGAGCTGGTTTCGAGACATGACCGAGAGGCTGTTCAGGGCAATGATTTCGCTCTCCGACGGGCCTGGGCCTTTCGAGGCGTTGGTTTCTTCGGAAATCTTGATGGGATCAAAGTCTTTTACATTCATTGCCACTGCACCGATGTCGTCTTCGATCTCGCCTCCGTCGTCGACGTGGGTGTTGACAAGGGTTGCAAATCGCTCCGAAGTCTTCATCAGTTCGGCATACGTGCCTTGCGAATAAATAGTGCCGTCTTGGACAAAGACAATGTAGTCGAGCTGCGAGAGATACTGCAGCTGGTTAATAGCAACCACAACCGTCTTTTCCTTCAGATAGCCCATAAAACACTCTTCAAAGATATGGCGTCCCACGTGCTGATCGACGGCCGAGAGCGGATCGTCTAGCAGGATAATGTCTGCGTCGTAGTAAATGGACCGAGCCAACGACACACGCTGACGCTGGCCACCAGACAGATTGGCTCCCCGCTCGGCAATCTCTGTTTGGTCTCCGGCAATAAGCAAGGTCAAGTCGCGCTGCAGCCCTGCCACTCGGATGGTTTCCTTGTAGCGGGCTGGATCCATGGATTTCCCAAATAAGACGTTTTCGCGCAGCGTCATGTTCAAAAGCCAGGCCTCCTGGGACATGTACGCCGTGGTTCCGTACATCTTGACAGTCTCGCCCTTGACCTGGCGGATCTGTCCGAGCAGCGCAGCCAGAACGGACGATTTCCCGCAGCCTACGTCTCCCACAATTCCCACCTTGTCCCCCTTTTTGATTTTCAACGAGATGTTGTGGATGGTTGGTTTGTCGCCTTCGGTGCCGTCCCATTTGAAGTCGCAGTCGTCCATTTCAAAGGCAAGATCACAGCCCTTTGGGGCAGGAGTGGGGCAAAGCTCAATAACCTCCTCCAGTAGGAGAAATTCGTTGATTTTTTCAAGCGACGTGAGCGCTCCAACGGTGGACTTGACGGCCACAGGAAGCATAAAGAACGGATACCGGAGCGTGTTGAACACCGAAAGAGTCGTGAACGAGACCGAGGCCGTCAAGCGGTTGCCGAGCGCAACATACATGGCCAGACAGGTAAGCGCAACCAGCACCGGAATAGCAAACACAATGGCATAGTTCCACACTTTGTTGATCAGGCTCTCGTACATGTACATGGACTCTTGGAGACGGATCGACTCGATCTTCTCGGCAAACGGCGTTTCCCAGGCATAGAACTTGATGAGCTTGATCGCCGTCAGCAGCTCCGACATCAGGTGCACTCGCTCCGTGGTCTTGACCGTCTGTTTCTTGCTGATAACATTGGCACGGTGTCCGAGCCACATTTGCACCGGCAGTAGAAGCAGCACAAAGCCCACTGCTGGCCATGCGGAAACCCCAATTTGGTAAAAGGACAGACCCAGGATCAGTCCCACCTCCATAAACGCAGCCCAGAGAAAGTGAAAGTTGCAGATGGCGTCGTTGATTTTGCCGACATCGCTTGCCAAGATGTTGATGACTTCGCCGGCCCCGCCTTTAACACGCGACAGGCGGAGCGATTTCCTGTAAATCAGGCCCATGATGGCAGCCTGGGTTAGCGGCAATCGACATTACCTTGACTTTGATGCCCACGCGGTTGCATTCTGAGTACTGCTGGTGCATGGCAATAGAGGAAAGCAGACCCGCCAGACCGAGAGCCATGGCATACATGTATCCATTAAATGTCGGCTGGGAAGACGACAGAAAAATCAAAACCTGGAGCAAGAGATACCAAGCGCCGGCCCAGGTAAAGAACGTCCAGGCGACTTTGTATCCGGCAATGGCCATGTACTCGGCGCCGAACGTGGCCTTGAGGGCTCGCAGTATCGAGGCATTTCTATAGCGGCTCGTCAGTCACAGCACAC